TGTAATTTGCTTATCCCTTAAATAATCAATTCTTACGCACATTAATCGATGTGTTCCCGTGAGCCTAATTTATTTTAATTGTTGAAATATCATCGTTGGCCCTTGCATGTGGAATGACATCGCCAAAGCGATGTCATTCCACATGCTCGAGTTTCACTGCAGCAGTTTGAAATCGTTCTCCGGCAATCGTCCATGTAAATGTGGGGATTCATGATGCAGGCAGCTACATGAACTACCGTAAGCGCAAATAACGTAGACAAGTGTTGTGGGTGGCTGACTAACCGATCCATTTAGCTTAGCTGTATTTCGTTTAACATGTACATGGCAGCAAGGGTTTTTAAAACTGGTTGTGTTGGACGTACGGAAACATTTTCACATACAACGATAAAAAATAATGTTTCCAAAACGAAACTTCCGTAATTTTTCTAGATTTTTACCGTTGAGTTATCTTTCTCGGCTGTGTCTGTTCGTACTCTACAGATGTCTGTTTCGCACCGCAAGTCTCCTAGATTATATAATAAATCTTTTGCTTCTGTGGACTCTTGGTTGGAGAGTCTTAAACTGTGACAGGTTTAGAGGAACGCTTGAGCCTCATTACATCCTTGCTTATTAGTGCACAGATGTCGGTGTAGTGTAGTTGGAGAACTTTATTCTAAATACAATACGATGTAAATTAATCATGTATTTCATTTTATCTCCAGACCTTTTCTTCAGGGAGGGTCCTGCAATAGAATATTTAGACAAATCCGTTACTGAGCGCGTCATGCTTTGTGTGGGCGATCGTACTTGTTATGCGAGTGTGCGATGTGAATCTCCGTTCATTTGGGCTCGTTAGTCTAATGGGGTTCTGCAACAATGAATCGTGAATTGTGACAATGAAGAAGGTCCCTCTACCGGGCGAATCGTTACGTTTCTTGCTCATTTACACCGCTTGGCCTCCTTTTCCGTCTCTCATTTTAGCATAAATGTAACAGCACAATTTTCATGAATCCTAAATAACTGATTCTCAAGTGCACCATTCCACACGTATACTGTGTGCGTAAGAATCCCATTTTCATGGCTCAATGGATGGATTGTTACACGTCCGCTCTGTGCCATCCCTCTTGCCGCTGTACAGACAGCTCGCTGATGTGTGGCTCGCCGATGCTCAGCTCGCGTCCGCTGCTTGTGATAGAGACCCTCGGCTGCGCCGTGAGAACTGTGCGCTGGGATGAGTGGCGGTCACGTGGATGGATCGTGGTGGTGAGAGGGTTTGGGCAGCGAGGGGTGTGAGATTCCCTGGTTGGAGACCCCCCCCCCCCAGCGCTCATGAGCAGTAGGAGGAATGGAACGAGACAATCACCAGAAGAGTGACGGAAGGAGAAAATGTGGAAGAAGAGCAGGAGTAGGAACAGAATGGTGAGTAGGAAAATAATTTGAGGAAGAGCTGGTTGAGGTGCAAGAGGTACATGATCAGGAGCAGGAGAAATTAGAAGCTCGGGAGTAAAAACAACAAAGAACACGAGGAGATGGTGACAGGAGGAGCAGGGGGAGACGACCATGGGAGGAGGAGGAGTGGCACGAGCAGGAACAGGAGGAAGATATACCAAGAGACGGCCATGTCAGGAGGGAGCAGAAGGAGGATCGGGAAGATGGAAGCTGAAGTAGTGGATGCATGAGGAAGAGCAGCAGCAGCAGAGGGAGCAGCGGGGGAAGCAGGAGGATCATCTGGAGGAGGAAGCAGCAGGAGGGGGAGCAGCTGCTCAGCGTCTGCACCTAAAAATAGTGCCGTCGGATTTCGTGTGAGCGAGCGAGTGCAGTCCGGCTTGTGATTCTCGTCCGTATTTTCTCCTTTTTTTGTTTTCCTTTTCTGCGCACGTTCCGCCCCGCTGCGCCATCGTCAACTGTGAGCGCCACCATTTTACACGATTGCAGTGTTGGCAGGGAGACGTGTGTGCCTGTGTGTGTGTGTGCATGTGGGGAGCGGTCGTGTGGCGATTAACACGCTGCGCTACGAACACAGTGACCAGAGTTCGATTCCCGCTCATGGAAAACACCAGTGACGATTATCTGGACCGGTCTTGGGCCTCCTTTAGGTCGACTCGGCCTCAAATGAGTACCTGGTGCGGTGTGTAAACATCGCCACTAGACAAAGGCGGCTGGGCAGAGTGCTGGCCACCCACCCCATCGTGTGCCGTGCCAGCCTTCATAGGGTCTTTGTTGTGCCTGTGTGTGTGTGTGCGTGAATGTTCGTATATGCATATTTAGAGTGTCTTGAAGCAGTCATGTAGATGCACTGAATACAAATTATGTTGTCTTTTGCAAGTAATATACACACGACTGTATTTTGACTCGGATAGAAGGTTCTGAGTTAATATCCCGATCAGGTGTCAGCTCGGCCAATCATTTTACCCGACTTGAAACATTTATTCCCGCTTTTAGAAAGTCAGCAGTGTTTGTTCTATGGAAAGACTTACTCTGCCATAGAAATGTTGAATTTCCACACCTGGCTAAGAGCCGCAAACAAAGATGACCAGAGCCACCAACAGAGATGAGCCTTTATTTTGTGAAAAAATATAGTAGCAAAAAAACAACCCGAAATCCCTTAAAACAGACATTTGATACGTGTAAGGATGCCATCATGGCCGAAGCCGTTAATGCCACAAATACAAATAATCGCCCTAAATCTGCCAGACTAGCAAATAGTGTTGCATTGTGATCGTTTTTCATCTTGTTAAGAAATAACTAAGGCAAAATTTCAAAGATGGTCGAGTGACTTGTGGGGGGACAGTCATAATGGTCATATCAGAGCACTCAGCCAGAACCGCTGAGCCTCAGCGTTTGTTTCCAGGTTTGAGCCGCCTTTAAATGAAATCGGTTCTTAGGTGTAGCGAATTGCGGGCCTCACTACTGCCTGCACAGACAAAAAAAATTCGAGAAAAATGTTGATTGTCACTTAATTTGCCTCTTCGCCTCCAAGAAGGAAAAATTAAGGTTTAATTTGACGTGCAACGAATATTCTTTGCGGGGCGTATAAAATGTGCGCCCAGTGTGAGGACAAGAGGCCTACCGAAGTGACTTCTGCATTAATGTTTGTTGTCATATTTCGGGACCGTTCTCAGACACACTGCTCACTGTCAACGTTCTTCATGGAACTCTTCTCAATAATTGTGCAAAATATGCTTTGGAATAAAAGCGTAATTTAATGCAAAGCGTAGCATTTGCTCTGCAGTTTTCACGATCTGCCAAATGTCTGCATTATCATGCTCGCCTGATCTTTATTTAAACACAAATCAAGCTGTGTTACACGTTGCACACACCTGATGATTGTTAAACGTGAACCCCTTGGCTATGGCGGAGCACTACCAACTATTTACAGAGGCTAAATAAAGAGGTGAAAACCTCAGGTACGGTATGTTTATCACCTCAACCATCCATGCCAGATTTCATTCCACAGATTAGCGATCGCTTATTCACAGTCGTGAGTGGCATTGTTGAGTACACAATGCAGTCAGCGATACCAACTCCCACTCGTCTAAACAATTGTCTTATGATTGTAGTTGGCAGGGTGGGCCAGTCAAACACTCTTATCTTTTTTTACTTTTGTATGAAAACTGTGGCCGAAAGCTTTGTTTCGCCAATTGTTGTTGCGCAGATTTATTTAATTTACATTGATTTCTGTTGGGTGATTTTAATGGTTGTACTAGTTTCATTGGTGTCTGTGGGCGTTGACTGGTTTCTCCAGCTGCGTACACCACGGGAAAGCGGCTCTATGCAGGAGTTCGTTCATTCTTCTGCCGCGTCCGGTTGTCGTGTTGAAAGCTGCGCGAGGAAATCGGTGATCCGAGTTCGATTCCTCGCCACGTCTTAACACCCGTTGGCAAAAAAAATATAACTTGTCCCTGGACCTCCGCTTGGTTGACTCGGCCTCAAATGAGTACCTGGTTGTAATGTGTCAACATCATCACTATGGAGACAAAGGCGGCCGGGCGTGGTGCTGGCCACCCCCCCCCTTCGTGTATCATGGTAGCCATCATAGGTGCTCGCAAACAGCACTTAACCTCATCAATTTGTTAATGCTCCACAGGGGATGTTTGTCTTTGTTCCTTGATAATCACTGAAGCCACAGCCCTTCTGCCCTCCGACGCTTTGAGCCGATTACTCGCAGACAAGCATTTGAGCGACCAGGTGCGCTATATAAATAATAAAGCCCGAAGCGCTCAACCTCACCCGCCTCCAAGTGTTTGCAAGCCAGTCCGCTTTCCATCCAAGGGCACCTGGCACTACGGCCGTGGACTTCTGATAAGACCAGATGTCGAGGGATGGGCTTAAGATAGTGGCGCTGTGTCGAGCCCGACAGTTTGGCAACTGGACACTTAACATTTGTTGTGGTTATGGAATCCGGCAGCATTTAATATGGAGCAGCAGCTCAAAAAGTACCCGGATGATGATTGTCAGGATTAATAATAAATGAAGATATCGGCCTTGTTTGTGAAACCGTTCTGGCAAAAGCGGACTTGTGGGGACATGCGATTCTGGCCCCAAGCTCCTGAGCTGTAATGAACTAAACTTGTCTGTGGTTCACATAGAACCGTATGTATTTTCACACTTTTTGTGTGAATGCTGCACGTGGCTATTTTACTCGTTCGAGAGCTTTACCTGGTAAGAAAAAAAATTGTTTAGTTTTATTTGAACATTTAAAGTGAATTGCTTACCTTTCCTATACTTTTCAATCAAATATCGTGTTTTGTATTGCTTGTAACGTTCTGACCTACCCCTACTGGACATCTGTGAAAATGAGCTTGATAGCTAATCGGTTTCCTCCAGTATAAATAAAGATTCTGATTCTGACTTAGTTTGTCATCTTTTGTCTTTGATAATTTCCAGATCTTGTGGACTAAGAGATCCGGATTTAGGGTTGGTGGTAGACTGTGTGAGACGTGTCCTGTCCATGCCCCACGTACCTTAACACACCGCAATGAAAAAACTGACCACTTATCTTTGGTTTCATTCTGGTGCAGAATTCCACGTGAAAAGAGGAGTGCCAGCGAGAATTCGCCGAGCCCAGCCCAGCGCAGCTCGGCCACTCGCTCGTCATCCCGCTTCATCAGCCTTGCCACCCGACAACCGCCATGGCAAGCCAGCAGCGTCAAAGGTCCATGTCCACATCCGGGGAGGCCCTGTACATCGTACTGGGTCTGCAGAAAGGAGCCACAGCCGATGAGATCAAGAAATCCTACAGGTGCGAGGAGGTGGTCTGACCAGAACCCGGGGTGGGGGAAAGGGGGTGGCTCAGGGAGGACTGGTGATGCGATGCCCGTTAGGTGTGATGATTCGCCATTTTAAATTGTTTATGCTTGTGACGCGTGCATTGCATCTCGAGGGATAGAATTAACTTTCCAATTTGTCCAAATGTGTGCACAGTTTCCATTCATCTTACAATTGTAAAAAAATGATCTCACCCATCACAATTCTGTGACAAAGAGCTGTCCTGGCATGTTTGTCCGTATGTTAAACTTCTTTCGCACCGTACATAGCTGATGGTGCTAATCGGAGGTGTGCGGTAAGGACGTCAATCTAAACACAGTAGTTCTAAAGAAATGAGTTTTCAATCTAGATTTAAAAGTGCATAGCTCCAGTGGCTTCCTAATATCGGAAGGAAGAGCGTTCCAGACGGCTGCAAAAGTGCATCTGAAAGCGTGCGCTTCAGTGAACGCCATTGTTCAATGGCTAGCCATCGACCAAAATGACCTTAACACCCACTCGGCATCAGCTGAGTGGATGCTCAAGGTCGGGGGTCGTGTAAACGTCGAGGTCACGCCAGACATCGTCGGCGTCGAACCTCGGCGAACGTCGCCCAGCTTCACTGTCCCTTGACAACGATGTGTTCCTTTCCCCTGCCCCGACACAGGAAGCTGGCGCTGAAGTACCACCCTGACAAGAACCCAGACAACCCTGAGGCCGTCGAGAAGTTCAAGGAGATAAACAATGCCAATGGCATCCTGTCCGACCTGAAAAAAACGCAACATCTACGACCAGTACGGCTCGCTGGGCCTGTACGTGGCGGAGCAGTTCGGGGAGGACAATGTTCACACCTACTTCATGTTCTCCAGCTGGTGGGCCAAGGTGAGCCAACAGTGCTTAACGAGAGAGGAGACCAGGTGGCCATGATGACTCCCCCCAAAAAGTTATATTCTGATATATTTTAGCCCTGAGAGTTATACATTTGCACAAGTGTGCACTGTCTGGTGTGGATAGATATGCGGCTTTTGAAATTGTGTTTGGGTTGGAGTTAGATTAGGTTTAACGTAACTTTAACACTGCTCTTTGCTAGAGTTTCGATAGTGGAAATGCAATCTAACTGATAGCAATTAATATTTATATTATTTTGGCATAGTTCAGTTATGTGCTATGAACAAGGGCCATTGGCGTAAATGTCATCCATTATGATTTCTTTTATTCTTAAGCAGTGTTATCGACGAATGTCATGTTTTTTCGACACTTTTAAATTAAACTGTTGCATCGGCCAATCGTTTCACCGCTGCCCCCTCTATCGCCCGCAGTCCCTCTTCCTGTTCTGTGGCGCCATCACGGCGTGCTACTGCTGCTGCTGCCTGTGCTGCTGCTGCAACTGCTGCTGCGGCCGCTGCAAGCCGCGTGTGCCGGAGGAGTCCGACTACGCGCACGTCAACCCCGAAGACCTGGAGGCCGACGACGCGGCTGACGGTGACACCGGTAAGGCGACGGGCACAGTGGCAAACAGCGGGGATGGTACACACCGGGCCAGCATTGCCACAGCTGGCCATGCATAGGCTTCTGACCTCAAAGAATTGCCAAAGTAAGCTACAGGGTTATTAGGTTAGAGCTGAGCCTTCCATTTGTTTAGATGATTGATTATGCTACCAATTATTGGTTCGGTAATTCGACTAATCGGATCACGAGATAACAGTTGGGGGTAGGGAAAGTCTCACTGCTGTTCCCACATGTGCCGCTCGAAACAGATGTGTCGTGCTGGGCTTGGCTTTTAGGGGAATTTATCGTCTTTGGGAGACAGGAGGGGTGGTGGGCAACCATTTTTAAAGGGGCTTAAGTAATCAACCACAAAAAGTTGATCGGTTACAATGTTTGGTCGATTAATTGGCTTGTTTGACTAATCTCTCCCAGCTGTTTCTCATATCAATTATGACCTCACAGCTAACTACAGAGTTCTGAGGTGAATCCCTAGGGTGGCCATTGTTAACCTGGCTCGGCACAAGATGCTTTAAGAAACTTGGCCTCGTAGCCTTCCGATGGTTAGGTTGCATAATTTAACCAAAGTGCCATCCACCATGGGAATGTGGAATTTCCACCACAAGTTCAGAGGGACTCCTTTTACCAAACCGGAAAGGATTATGATGATGTTGATGACCAATGACCATGACCACCACCACTGCTCCACCAACGTGGATAGAATTTGTGTGTATGTAATCATTTATTTGTTTTGTCCTTCATTCATTAATGCATTTTCTTTTTTCCATAATTTATGTCGGTTGGTGAGGTGGCTAGGTGACTCAGGGATCTTAATACCTTATTAGGATGCTGAGCCAAGATCCTGGGTTTAAATCTGGGTTTTTAAGCTCCAATTATTAAATACATTCTGAAGCTGACTGTCTCTGTCCAGTCACTAATAATTGAATTAAAAAAACATATGAGATGTAAATAAAACTGTAAATATATAATCTTGAATTTATGTACTTTTTGTAATTTTTGAACATTTAATTACAAAGTGCGTGTCCACGTGCCATTGGAAATGCCGGTTTACTGCGTACAACCGTACGTCACTTTCGCTGGTTTGTGCACACGTGCTTCTCAGCGTTTTGTGTAAGCGTATCCTTTCCTTCTGACTAACCTTGTCTTGTTTCACCTGGCAGAAATTATAACAAAGCAGCCGGGCGGCGCCGTACGGTGCTAGACGCCAGCAGTAAGCCCAGACACCACCGCCCACAACGCCACCACCACTCACCCCACACGACTCGGGATGCGGGGACACATGGAGGACCTTTGCTCAGAATCCCAACGCCAGTTTTGCGCTCACTAACTCGCTCGCTCTGCCTCTCTCGTGCTGCGTTTCCACAACCACTGCCAGGCCCACTCAGCAGCCCGAGGAATGATCCTGGGCCATTTTCACTATCGACTGCGTTGGCCCATTGAGGCTGCAGTGGGAGCACAGGCGAAGCCCCACTAGCCCTGCCGGTGCATTAGCCAAGCTGACTCCCTTCACAGTGGTGGTGGAAACGTGGCGTCACACACACGGCCTCGTGCATGTTACAGATAACGGGGTTTTTTTCTGTTGCAAAGTGTGTGCATCCAACGAATTGATGATCATAATTAAAGTGCAACACTCGCAGTATTAACGGACATAATCCACGTATATTTCACTGTTGTACAAATGTCTAAAATATGCGAGATCTTGGTGTGTTGTAAAAACCTCTATTTGCTACCCAATGGGAATTTGTTATCTCTGCGCTCATACGTTAAATAGGAACAGTTTTCCATGCGGTAAAAGCAACCGTGTGACATTTGTTACAGTTCAGATGAGCATTATGGCCAATTTGCTTCATTACTCCAACAATAATGTGAGCCACGGTCATTCATTTATTTCTTAACCTAGACATTTTGTCCACGTCTGTAAATTCAACTTTTCTGAAAAATAAATAACGGGTGCAGCAGTGGCACAATGGTTATCGCACTGTAGTGTGAACCCAGCGATCTGAGTTTGATAATCGATTACGGCTAACATGCAATGTATGGCTTACATCCGTGTTAGCTGTGCATCAGGAAATTTGCCCAATTCCATTATAAATAATGTGGTGTTTTTTGTTTTGTTCCTATGGTGGTGAGGCATTGTCACACAGCTATAATTTAGCGATTTGTCAGTGGTGTTGGTAGGTTACATAGTGATGATCATGTAATGTACTGTATAGCTCCGAACCAGCACGCCTATAGATTTACCAGTAGATGGCAATACAACATGTTGATGTCATACGGTCTGTATGGATAATTGAGGGTCATCATTGTGTAAGTATAGGTGCTAGGGTTATTTTTTTCCGTAATCAGAATGATTGAATGAAGAAATTAGGCAAAACATCCCCAGTGCAGAACGCTCCTGAAAAAGTCTTCTAACTCGATGAGGTTTTCTTGTGTAAATAAGTGTACATATAATGAATATTGTTAAATAATTAAATTAATTATAAATCTGTATATTTATTTAAATGCTAAAGTCCACATGCAATTTCATTTCAATCCAACTTAGAATCGAAAGTCGTCATTACAGCACAAATGCCAGATTGAGCACGACATGGTTCTTTTGATCCGGATCAGGAGCGTCAAAGAGCATTGGTCTTGATTAATTATTTGTTTAATTATTACATTTGTTTACCCAGGAGAGCCTCACTTGAGTCTCAAGACTCCTTTTCAGGAGGGTCCTGCCAAGTTTTCGCAGTAGGGGGGGGGGGTGGGTGCGATGTTGCTGCTGTGTGGAATCCCAATTGAGTAATTTGCAGGTAATATGTTAGCATTTGGGAACGTTGGGCCCATACCAGTCACATTGCAGTAAGTGCGTTGATCTTTTCTAGCTTGATTTAAAGATTTCGTGACTGCAGGAATTCATACTCTTGGGTCTTTCAGTCAAGGCACGTAGATAAAAAATAATAATTATACTTTTCTAGCTGTCGCATGAAACCGGAGAATCCGGAGGAAACGCATGCAGATGCAGGGGTAGAGCATATAAATGCCACGCTAGAAAGGTTACCCTAGTCGGGAATCAAACCCAGGATCTTCTAGATGTGAGATGCACGAGTCTTACGGCTGCACCACCCTGGTTATATTGGAAATGTCATGGATTTGGCATTCCATCTCAAGTCATACTATGGCACGGTTGTGTGCTGCCCTCCTCTAGCTCTCAAGCCCAACAGCCCTGACATCAGGAGTCTGGTAGTGGCAAACCCCCTCCTCATCCCCCCAAGCCTATCTCTGCGTGTATCCAATTGTTTAATTCACATAGCAAAGGCTGTGACAGAATAGGGTGCAATGTTACCACGGTTTGACCAACCGGGCTACAATAACACATTTAATTAGCACCCCCACTCCCAGGGTGTCTTTCACTTGACACAACGATGCACGACGTCTTTTTATACCCTACGGTATTCTTTTTAAGTAATCCACATGTTTATCTGCCACACACTTGGCCGTATGAAGAATTAAGAATAATTGCATCAACTTTCTGGAGCGCAAATGTTGCTGTGAGGATCCCGAGTGGGTCTGCGGTGTAAAATCCTGGGCAATTAAACGGATGAGATATTTACATCCACCCACCCCACCCCTCAAACAACACAGCTTCCCCCCCCCCCCCCCCCCCCCCCCCCCATCATTCGTTGCATAAATCCCAAGCCCTAAGCTTATCAGTAGCCTCGTATGGCTCGAGAAACCACTCGCGGCGGTCAAATCACAAGCGTTCACTTAAATTACAAATCGGCGCCTGCTGTGGGGTGCGACTGCAGTTTGCGCAGAAGCGTCTCTCGCGGTAAACGTCACCTTTATTTGCTTTGTAATTTTTGTGTCGACGTGGCCTTTGAGTGCCGACTGTCGGTATCGGTTTTATTTCCCTCACATGGGTTGATGTCCTAATCAAGTCATTCTGAGTCCCCAACTCCCCACATGACCCCCCCCGCCCCCCGCACCACAACTACTCCCGTTCCCCCAGCCTCCGAGGCCCCTACATTCGCAGTAACAACAAGAAGCTCTCTTGGGTGGGAGGCTGAGCAATGTACCGTTCACCATGCAGCCGTCATTGATGTCAGCGGTGAATCACGGCCACGCCTCCTTAACGCTCCGTTGTACCATCGCTGCGTTCACTACGCTGCTTTTTCCCGTTAGTCGATACCGTCTCTTGACATGTAAAATCCCCCTGCAGCTGAAAAAATTAAATAAACGCGAGTAACAAATAAAAAATCATTGATGCAAAATGAATTGGATCAACACGTTTATCTGGCATGCACTCGGCCTCACTCTGTATTTCTGTGGCTCGCGCCATGTGTTCTGGCATTACAACCTCTGCGACTGTTTGACTGAATGGGGGAGCCTGTGCTGGGACAGGTGATAAAAGGCGCGTGATCTCCGTTACACGAAATCCCATGTGCTAATTCGTTTTGAAAGCTTGAGGTCAGATTTTTGCTGGACTTGAACCACACCCGTTGGGTCAAAATCCGCCGGCGTCATTTCTGAAAAATACCGTGCCTCATCAAGTGAACATTCGGGCGTTGTTACTCGCAGGATGAGAACATCGTTGAGCATTTTACTTGAACCTGGGTTGTGGATGTAAGGTATCTACGCAATACAAACACACATGCACGCACGCTAAAATCATTATGGTGACATCACCAGCTGGGTCTCGCGCTCCCTGCCACCACAAAAAGACGATGAAAACTGAAAATTGAATTCTCTAAAAATGTAATGTAACTTAGAGGAAGATGCAACCCAATAAAACAAACTCTTAAAGGCATGTCCCCATGCCATCTGCCCTGGGCTATCTAGCTTGAGTATTAAGCTTCGTTTTTGAAAATGAGAAAAAAAGCCTTAAAATTTACAGTCAGGCCCGCTACGATAGATATTAATTTACATCACTGCAGTGAGGTATTCACATAGTGACATCATAGTGATGCACCATTGAAGTCCTTTAATTTTTTCCATCACGAACTTTAAATTTCGTGACGGTGCAGCACAGTGGACATATCCCAGCTATGCGGTCAACAACATAAAGAGTTATATTCTTAGTTTTTTCGGTAAAGCCACGTTGAAGAGAAACAACAAAATAACAAAATATATATAAAACAATAAAAATTCTCACGACGTTTCGACCATAACTCAAACGGTCATCATCAGGTGTGTCGGTTTGCATAAATTTATTTTTAAAACGGCATATTTATTTCAAAACCATCACTTTACCCTACATTGCTGGGATCACAAAAAAGATCTCCAAAATCTTGAATAAACACAAGATCCAGGTCCGTTTCAACACATTACATAAAATCCGTGATCTGGTTCCGTCTGTAAAAGATGTGATTCCGGACATACAATACCCTGGTGTCTACAAACTAAGTTGCCTCTGTGGTAGTAGTTACATTGGAGAAACCAAACGCCATATCTCGGACCGCATTCGTGAACATAAAGCAGACCTTAAACACGGTAGGACCAACACCTCGGCCGTAGCAGATCATTGTTCTAATTCAGTAGGCTCACATGCCATTGACTTTTCCAAGACGGAGGTTCTTTGTAAGCCATCTGGCTTCCATGAGAGATTCGTTCATGAGGCTATCCACATATACAAGCACAGAGACAATTTCAACCGAGAAGATGGATTCTATCTTAGCAATCATTGGAAAGATTTGATAAATCATTTCAGTTCTTGATTGATTGTTCACGCTTACAGTGGCTTTCAGACAGCATACATTAAAAAATTCGTCTCCCCCCTCCTCTTTTCAAAAAATAGATGGACTAGTCCTGGGCAAACTGCCAATCGCTGCGCGTGACGCAGGCTTTACCGAAAAAACTAAGAATATGAATTACTGCAGTCACGAAAGCTTTAAATCAAAACATAAAGAGTTGTTTCTATTTTAATTTGCATCTTTCTTTAAAGTTATTTAATTCAAAGCATTACTATCTATGCACATTAACACGTGCGGGTTTGATTTATCAGCAGGTGGTGAAAGCAGTCCTCACACCTGTCAATCACTAATGCTTGTTGAGCACATCTGCAAGTGATTGGACGTTAACATTTTTGGATGGGTGGAATGGGAGGCGTGAGATTGGGCGTTGGTTAGCACGAGGACTGGAATTGAAACACTGCTGCTGAGCGGTGGTTGCTGGGCTAGTGGTGATGTTGGTGGTGGCGTTGTCGGTGACAGTGATGGTGGTGGTGGTAACTGACTAATCAAGCCTCTAATCAAGCTTTACCAAAGCTCTGCTTTTGCGATGTATGTGTGCGCGAAGCATGTAACGATTCATCCCTTAACCCCCTGCTATAACTGGAATTTAATGACTTACAATTTATCGTCTAGATTCAAGAATCAGTAGGTTTTTTTTGTTTCATTTGTACCTCATTTGTATTGTCTGTCGCATACAATGTCTTTGACTCATCTCGATCATTCCATTTTCCTCAAATTCACGTTTTCAATATAAGTTAGTGAGGGAAAAAGTATTTGATCCCCTGCTGATTTTGTACGTTTGCCCACTGACAAAGAAATGATCAGTCTATAATTTTAATGGTAGGTTTATTTGAACAGTGTGAGACAGAATAACAACAAAAAAATCCAGAAAAACGCATGTCAAAAATGTTATCAATTGATTTGCATTTTAATGAGGGAAATAAGTATTTGACCCCTCTGCAAAACATGACTTAGTACTTGTTTGGCAAAACCCTTGTTGGTAATCGCAGAGGTCAGACGTTTCTTGTAGTTGGCCACCAGGTGTGCACACATCTCAGGAGGGATTTTGTCCCACTCCTCTTTGCAGATCTTCTCCAAGTCATTAAGGTTTCGAGGCTGACGTTTGGCAACTCCAACCTTCAGCTCCCTCCACATTTATTCTATGGGATTAAGGTCTGGAGACTGGCTAGGCCACTCCAGGATCTTAATGTGCTTCTTCTTGAGCCACTCCTTTGTTGCCTTGGCTGTGTGTTTTGGGTCATTGTCATGCTGGAATACCCATCCACGACCCATTTTAATGCCCTGGCTGAGGGAAGGAGGTTCTCACCCAAGATGTGACGGTACATGGCCCCGTCCATCGTCCCTTTGATGCGGTGAAGTTGTCTTGTCCCCTTAGCAGAAAAACACCCCCAAAGCATAATGTTTCCACCTCCATGTTTGACGGTGAGGATGGTGTTCTTGGGGTAATAGGCAGCATTCCTCCTCCTCCAAACACGGCGGTTGAGTTGATGCCAAAGAGCTCCATTTTGGTCTCATCTGACCACAACACTTTCACCCAGTTGTCCTCTGAATCATTCAGATGTTCATTGGCAAACTTCAGACGGGCATGTATATGTGCTTTCTTGAGCAGGGGGACCTTGCGGGCGCTGCAGGATTTCAGTCCTTCACGGCGTAGTGTGTTACCAATTGTTTTCTTGGTGACTATGGTCCCAGCTGCCTTGAGATCATTGACAAGATCCTCCCGTGTAGTTCTGGGCTGATTCCTCACCTTTCTCATGATCATTGCAACTCCACGAGGTGAGATCTTGCATGGAGCCCCAGGCCGAGGGAGACTGACAGTTATTTTGTGTTTCTTCCATTTGCGAATAATCGCACCAACTGTTGTCACCTTCTCACCAAGCTGCTTGGCAATGGTCTTGTAGCCCATTCCAGCCTTGTGTAGGTCTACAATTTTGTCCCTGACATCCTTGAAGAGCTCTTTGGTCTTGGCCATGGTGGAGAGTTTGGAATCTGATTGATTGATTGTTTCTGTGGACAGGTGCCTTTTATACAGGTAACAAGCTGAGATTAGGAGCACTCCTTTTAAGAGTGTGCTCCTAATCTCAGCTGATTACCTGTAAAAGACACCTGGGAGCCAGAAATCTTTCTGATTGAGAGGGAGTCAAATACTTACTTCCCTCATTAAAATGCAAATCAATTTATAACATTTTTGACAATAGTTTTTCTGGATTTTTTTGTTGTTATTCTGTCTCTCACTGTTCAAATAAACCTACCATTAACATTATAGACTGATCATTCCTTTGTCAGTGGGCAAACGTACAAAATCAGCAGTGGATCAAATACTTTTTCCCCTCACTGTACATAGAATCGATTTTGATCGATGCGCTGAAGAATCGTTCATGTTCCTGGCATTCCACCAATGGCGCTTGAATGTGCAAACGTGTTCAGTTGGCAGCCCAAGACAACCAACACGCCTCCTCTCCGCAGGACTTGTTCTGTTCTACAAACTCGCCGTCAAAGCTCCTTGTGCGCACCGGGCAGTGCCCATGTCCCATGAACCAGTTGGGAAAATTCCACAGACGCGTAATGGATGCCCTCAATTACAATTTGAAAGTCCAAAAATAAAACCCGCTGTTTGGCGACGTGGCGTCTCGGACCACGTGGCTTCCATGTTTCTTGGAACGCAATTGCAGCCAATGCTGTTCAGCCGACGGGCAAATTCATGCGCTGTTCATTTGCATATGATAATGAAGATATTGAAAATGGAAGGAAAGGATGACGCACAATAATTATTATTATTAATGTGCATTGCAGCAATATTAATCGGGCAGTTTTTATCCTCCCGGACAAAGATATCCAATGAAGTTGTGATTTTGTTAGATGCCTTTGCAATTCCAAATTATTGTGGTTAAAACATCTCTATTTTCTGGGATTGATAAAAAGTACCAATTTCTGGATAGATTGGCCCCCTGCATGGGAATGTGGAATTTCTACCACTGGCTCAGGGCCACCAATTGATACGAGTGCTGCCCCCCCTTTGCTCATCTTAGCAGGGAGACACCTTGGAGTTGCCGATTGAGGCATCTGGAGCGTGTGACATCACTAACCCATCTGTGCATTCTGTCAAATCGCGTGTCCTCTGGTCCCGTAAAATAAGACACTGCATGCAGATGCCGGCAGTGAGAATCCTTATGCTCACTTCACTCTGTTTCATAGCTTATTATTGTAGCAAAAACAACATGATGGGAGCCTGTGTCTAATGATAGTAATAATAATGGCCTTTACACAATAACAAGTCTCATTACTTTTTAATGAGGGTGCTGCATTGAGCTGTTTGGCAATTCCGTTAATGGGTGTTCAGCTTCGTGTGGGAGGAAACTGGAGTACCCGCAGAGAACCGACCATGCTTACTAGCAGATAACGTTCATAAGCGCCACACGGATTTAACAATCCATTGTTCTTCCATCTTGACAACATCTCTTACAGGCCTTTCATCGCCACTACCCACCCACCACCCTCTCCCCACGCAACCCGACAGCAGTTGATCCCTCCGTTTTGTGTCTCTTCTCAGAGGAGACGCCCGTTGTGGTGCAGCCGTCTTCAGCCTCTGAGACAACGCAACTGAACACCGACTACAAGCCTCGCTACACCGACGACCCGTTCAATTAAGCTCGCGGGAGCCAGCTCGAAGCTGCGGCTGTGGTGGTCGGGTGGGGGAGAGGGTGGGTGGGAAAGGAATGGGGGGTGGGGATATGTGTATGGGCTTGTGTGCATGCAAAGGCCTGTTCTGCACTCGGCGATGTGTGACGGCATCGGCTAAAACCTGCCCGTAGACCGCTCGCTCGTACCGTGTGTTCAATAGGGACTCGTCTGGCACGACATGGACGCGTGTTGAACGGCGTCACCGATCTCGCACACACATGTATGTGCGATCGGTGTAAAGGTCACCACCGCATGGGGACGTCTGGCGTCTGACTGGCGATCCACCACGCGGTGTGCAGCCGCACGGTGCGCACGGTGTAGTTTCACTCGCTGCCACTGCCGTCATGAATTGCCCCGGTGTGGGAGCGGCCTTACGAACTCGGGGGGTGGGGGGGGGGGGCAACAGTCGTGACACAGGAATTTGTTGCGTCGTGCGAGCGACGAATGTGCATTGTGCAAAACTCTATGAAAGCATCTTTGTGGGCTCTACGATGTGAATAATGATGTACGTCGATACCAGGTGGTTCAAGCCGTGTGATTTTTGATTTCCGTTTTCTTTTATATATGATGTTTTTGTTTGGTTGCGGTCTTTAATTCACTGTGTAGGAGTGATCCGTGTTTGTGTGGGTGTGCAATTTTGTTTGCTTTTTTAGTCAAACTTGTGAATCTGTAACACCGATCCTTGCGAACTTTTAATTTGTCCAAAAGAAAAAAGAAAATCCAAACAGGACGTATATATATACGAGCATGATGTGCTTATTTTTTCTGGCATTGTATTGTGTGCGGCGTTTAAAGGAAAGAAGATGTTCTACAGTGAATATATTGGCATCGACTCTTTGACTCAAACATTCATCCATTCAACCAAGTGACGTGCGCTTGTGTGTTGTCGTGGGTTTCGTCTAACCCCAGCAATGGAATCCAGTCATCATCATCATCGCCGCCACCCTTCCATGTGCTGGTTTCATCCGACCAAAAGTACCACAGGTCCCCCTTCCTATGAACTATTTATTCGGCACGATTGGTTTAATCAGCTATTGCGCTTACACCACGCAGTGCGACAGACTATTCGTTGAGGGGTCAAATACTTTGGATTTGTACATATAAAGTAGCCCCCCGCCACCCTCAAAGCCAATGGTTGTAACTAAATGGAACATGCGAGATGGCACACAAGGCAGTACAGACGAGACGGTGCGGACCAGTACAAACAAGGCAGTACAGAAATCGGATCTTGAATGGAACCGTCACCCCGAGTCGTGGCGATTAATTGCGGCGTGGTGGGGGTGGTAGTTTGTTTCTTTGCCCAGTGCTTTATCAGGAAAGTCTCCCCCGAGAGTTCTGCTATCGAAATGTCTGGACAATTATTTTGTCTAAGAATTTTCCTGCAGGGGCAATAACATTGCTTAAAAGCTAGTACATGAAGTAGGTCTCCCAAAGGCTATCTGTGCCGGATTGTGTGTGTTTTACCTTTGCGTACCTGTGGGGTTTTTAACTGCAATTGCACTGATACTTAAAACACATGCATTGGTTAAACATCACAGGCCAGGACTCCTTACAATTCACCTTGAAACTCAATGAGGCTTTACTGGTCATAGACAAAAAATAGATATTTTTCAAAAACAATCAAAAACCTGAGCAGGCATCTTCCTCATGGGCGTATAAGTGGTGATCACAAAGTCCATCTCATATCGGAGAAGTGGTACAACAACAGAAGTCAGATGTTTAGTTCACACACCAGACCTGGTCCCCAGTGCCGTCCACATGTCTCCACAGTGAAATAATCATCATGGGACCTCCTTTGCCAGTACCAAAATATTACAATAGTTTTCCCCCTTTTTTCTGGCAACAAAACAGCTGCGTTAAGAAGTTAAAACACCAAACTGAAACCTTTTACAAGGAATCATGTCTACATTAACCACAATACTTGTGGTCAGAATGCAAACAAAAAACTGGTAATATAAGCATTGTCTTTGAATCAAAGAATGCAAACAAAAAACTGGTAATATATGCATTGTCTTTGAATCAAAGACAATGCATATATTATCAGTGTTTTTTTTTTTCATTTTGACCACAAGTATTGTGGTTAATGTAGACATGATTACTTGTAAAAGGTTTCGGTTTGGTGTTTTAACATAACACCTGTTTTGTGGCCAGAAAAAAGGGGAAAAACTTATCGTGAAATAATCACTTCTTGGGAAAAGCAATGATGTGACAAGCGACATGTGGTAAGTGTTTGCGAGCGAGACATCGGGTTCTCCTGGGTGGCGATTAAAGTATTGGTAGATTGACGATGAGTGAGTCAGTGCACACCACTTCAGTGGAACCATGTGGAGAAATGGCACTGCCCCCATGTAGACCATCTATTCCTCAATCTGTCAGGACAGAGACATTTCCATCGCCCCATTGTATATAATTCTTAGTTGGGCAGGGACTTCTTTAGACCAATAGTTATGAATAAAATACCCGAAACATTGTGCTGGCCTGGGGGCCACGTGTGACCTAATCAAATTAGGAGCGTAGCAAGTGTGATTACAGGGCTTGGCAATGTGCGCGCATCTTCTGATCGTGTTGGACTTCCTCGGTCGTGCGTTGGTCATCGCCGTATATCTTGAAACGTCTTCACAATGGCAGTTGATGGTTTTGGCTCCAAAATTTCCATAGATTATTTTGTTGTAGATGTTCCAGTGGTTGGTTGTTTGGTGGCGAGATTGCTTTCTTTCTGGCAGGTTACCTTGGCAGGGTCGTGTAATGGCTGGATAAATATATGGCTGGCTTGCACACTGCGTAACTAATTGGTTGATTTAGGTTGTAAATTATTGTTGTTCTGGCTGTCTGGTCGGTTGCATGGTGAATAGGCTAACTTGATCGCTGATTGGCTCAATGCTTCGGTGAGTTAGATGGTCAGCTGGCTGAGTTCCCTGGATGGCTGGCCAAGTGGTTGGCTGGGTGGCTGGCTAGCTTACTGGCTGGTTTGGTTGACTAGCTGGTTAGGTGGGTAGCTGGTTGGCTGGCTGGTTAAACGAATTGTCGCCAAACTATCTTGCTGATTGCTTCGCTGAATGATTAGCTGGTTGGCTTTCGGTGGATGCTTGGAAGGCTGGCTTTACTGGGTGGCTGGATGGTTGACTCCTGTCGCTGGCTGGTTGGTTGAGTGGCTGGTGGGATGGTTCTCTTGCTAGCCGTCGGCTTGACTGGTTGCTTGGCCGGTTTCATCGAAACCACATTTGTGCTCATCTGCCCTCGTGCGGTAGCGATTTGAGATGTGCATGCGTGACCCCTAGGGTTTGTAGGGAATGGCTTTAACAAATGACGCACATTTGGCGCTGTCATATGTATTCCAACCGATTATATCCTCCCAAAAGCGCAGCAATAAAATTCAATAATGTTATTTTTTAGTGTGTACACGAGTACATTTTAAATGCACGTGACAATTTACAGAACCTCTTTTTAGTGGCCGAGTACTCTGCAGAGACGCCCACCATGGACTGCAACTTTCCACCCCCTGGCATGGAATGGAATACTCCAAATGCATTTCCCTGTGTATTTATGCGCTGAAGTACTGTAGTTATAGAATTGGAATGTTCCGTTTTGACTGAGGTGGAATCGATGTACTGTAGTGAGAAATAATACATTATGAAAATAAAGTATCTTTTTTATTTAAATGTATATTAAAATAATTAAATGTGTGGGTTATGGCTCTAAATTGGTTGCATTTAGCCATGGGGTTAGGGAATTAAGGTCAGGCATTGTTTAGAGTTAGTAATGGGTTGATTACTAATCGGGGTTATAGTTATTAATCAGTTATTCGAGATCGCATCGGATTAGGGTTCATCACAGGTTAACTCGAGACTTGGGTTTAGAAATTAGTGTGAGGCGTGAGTTAAGATTTGGAGAAGTCACGCGTTAGTAAGGCGTTAAGTTAAGAGCAGGCTAGGGTCAGCTGTGTATTCGTGTTTAGTCATTGCTAAATTGTTCTATAATCTCTTAATTCGGGAGTGTCCATGTTTATAGTCGTAAAGGCAAACATGGCGCTCATTATTTAATGTGTTTTGAGAAGTGTGCTGGGATAAACATCTCTGTGCATTTGGTTGTTGACCGTAAACACGTCTATAAGATGCGTCACGCCTTTCGAATGTGAACCCAATGTTGTTTCGCCAGTCGTGATTACGTGGATATCAAAAGGGGTTCTGTACAATCCAGCCTGGTTCCTTGCTGGGTTGAGGGGGGGGGGGTGCTCTTTAAGCGAACGTTCGTTTGCATTTTTACCGTGAATTGGAACCGGCTGTGCTTGAACAGCAGCTGACTGGTGTGGCAGAAGGTAGCTCCGAGGACCGGCGGCGATTCACGAAGTGGCTAAAAACAGGGGCGCGGTGGTGTTTGCGGGGTGGCGGGTGCGCAACCCATATCAGCAACACCCTGGGTGTAGAACCCATATCAACAACACCCTGGGTGTAGAACTCCAAACGGAGTGAGATGAACCCGCGAGGGCGCTCATGTCTGTCAAGGCAAAATGAAACATGCGGATAAAAAAACCAAAGGTCGTGCAGTAATTGACGGTGGAGTGAAAGATACTGGCCAGTTGCCTTGGGTGAAAAGTGGGCGAGGTTTTGCCCAATCCTGGCCAGCTGGCTCGAAAAGTGAATAAAGAGAGGTGGAGCAACCAACCAGGCACCAGCCATACCCATAGCCCAAACCACGCTTACCAACTATGCTCCAGTCGAACCCGACTCGCTAAAATCGCCAGCCAGACCCTAACCTTACCTCTAACCTCACCTAATTCGGCAGACCATAGCCCTAACTAAAGTGACGCACCGAATCTTAGTCGTACCACTTAGCCAAGAGGGCATTCGCCAACCTGTTCCCCTGTCCTGACTCCTCACCACAGATAAGCCGGACCCTAAACAAACCAAACTCCCTAAACGTGAACAAGCTGACCCAACCAACCCGTCTCCCTGACTGCCAAACTCATAACCCAAGGCCCACACCTGATAATTGAACCGGCGCCCCCCCCCCCATTTAGCTTTCCGATCACTTCACGTTGTGGTGTCGACACTGCCAAGTTGTTTACTGCTCGTGACGTGAGTGTATTTGAGTTTGGATCCAGTCCACGTGTGCAATGATGATTCGAGGTCGTGATGTCGGCTTTGAGCAGTACGTGTCACGATTTTACTCGGCTCTAAGTGTAACGATGCATCCATTCGTCGATTTAATATCGACATTTCTCGCTCCGCCGTACATGCATATAATCGGGGTGTGTTATGAATCGGATGTTCAATTTGCATACGTTAAATTGTGCTGCGGTGCGTTCACGTAACCTCCAGCCACGGGTGGCCGCTCCGTTCAACAATGTGAAGGGTTTAACAAATTGGATTCTCGAGTGACGTGCGAATCGTCACACCGCTAACGCGCGTTAATGTAGCGATTGTATGCTCACAAAGCGAACATAGAACTTGATCACGTGGTTTGTACATTAGCTTGCAGCGTAATTATTATTATCGTTGTTATTTTTAATGAAGATGCAACTCCCTACCCCCCCCCCCCCCCACCTACGTTGAATAAAGTTCCCATGATGACTTCGTTGTGTATCGTCGTGTATCGTTGCCGTCAATCGTCCCTTCGTCGTCGTCTGAAACACCGCACCAACTCCCTCCTGAATCTCTCTCGTGGTGAGCAGACCTCGACAAAGGCATTCAGCTCCTGACCAGAACACCCCCACCCCCCCCCCCCCCCCCATTAAAGCATCGCAGTGGCGACGCGATGCAGCAGCGCCCCTCTTAGTTTGATGGTTAACAGACGGTCGCTGGATCGCGGTCTTTAAAATGCGCTTCAGGGGCCGTCTGGAACGCTCTTCCCTCCGATATTAGAAAGCCACTGGGAGCTGTGCAATTTTAAATAAGCTAGATTGAACATTTATTTCTTCAAAACGGAGTTTTGTGTTCGGATTGTTGTCCCCCACGCGCCTGCGATTAGCACGGTTGACTACGTACGGTGCGAAAGAAGTTCAACACACCTGGACAGTGATTAGCAAACGGTGCTATGAACCCGGCGAGCCTGAGTTCGATTCCCGACCACGACTAATATCGGTGAGGTAGAGATATCTGAACCTCAGTTCTAGGTCGTCCCCCCCCCCCCCCCTCCATACCAGCACGCACTGACTAGCGTGGTGAAGTATGGTCAAAAAAACCCTCCATTACCAACACGGCGTGGAGGGAGAGGCCCCAATGGAAGCGGTGAATTGGCAAAAGTGTCGTGCGATGTTGATCCACGCAGTGGCTGCCCCCTATTGTTGATAAGCGATCACTAAGCCAGGGAATCATCCAAACAGCTAAACATTTCAACCCCAAACGCTGTACATACCGTGCGTTATACAGACAAAGATTCCCCGTATAGCCTCAACAGGTTGTTGGGGTAAGTGCTGTTTACGAGCGTCGATGAAGACGAGCAGGGAACACGAGGAGGTGAGTGGCCAACGCCATGCGCGGCCGCCTTTGTCTTTTAAGTGCAGCTGCTTACACGCCTCGTCAGGTGCTCAATCGAGGCTGAGTCGACCTAGAGGATGCCCACGACTGGCTCGGATAATCGTCGCTGCATGGTGGGTTGGCCGTGAGCGGGACTCAAACTCAAGGTGGCTGTCACCGCTGCGATCACTGCTCACGAACTGAAACTCGCGAGTCCACGCACTGACTTGCTGACACACACGTGCTTCTGAAAAAACACGCACGCACGCACTGACACGGGAATTCTGCGGGTCTTCTGATAGACCCACTGACTCACGCACCACGTTTTATCCCACTGTTAGACACTGAACCCAACACAAATAACCACCCATGTAGCAAAAGACGAGACAAAGATTTTCCGTGTAGCCTTCACAGACTGTTGTGGCAAGGCCCACTGAGCTATAGAGCCGTGTTTTCAGAAGCGACCTGGCCACAAGTTGATAGCTCAACGGAAGTGGCTTGTCACGTGGAAATTCATAGCAGCCAAATACTCTAAACGCACGTTGATTCTAAATGTGGAGGGAAAAACCGGAGGACCCGGAGAAAAATCCACGCGACCACGGGGAGAGAGAGACACGCAAACTCCAAATATACAGCAGCAGGCGTCAGGGTCGGGATCGAACCCACGACCACCTTGTATACCAGGCGACAGTGCCGGATTATCCCAGTAGCACAAGCAGCTACAAATGCTACGGGCCCCGCACTTTCAAGGGCCCCGCGCTAAATGCTTTCAAGCTATCAATTCCGGTTCAGTGATTCTGCACTTGCTCTATTACTATCGTACTATACCGCCTTCAACTTTTTATTAACCACCGGGTGTTTAAGGTTAGCGCTCTGTCGTATTATCTGGCTGCTATGCAACCTCAAAATTTGTGTATTCATATTTATGCGTTTTTTTTTTATTTAAGGCCCCTTTATAACAAATGCTGCAGGCCCCGCACTAGCTTAATCCGGGCACTGTCAGGCGATTCAGTTCAGGGGCCATCCATTGAGGAGGTCCGCAAAAATCTGTCAAAATTGGCCCCCTCCCTGTACGCAGGCGAACTTTTAACACCCCCCCCCCCACCTGCGTACGTTCGCCTGACGCAGAAACGATCAAGGATTAATAATATTAACGTGTTTAAGCAAACAGTCCACCGCCGGACTATCTAACTAATTTGAAAGCCAATGTAGACAAATTAATTATTATCGAGGCTCCACCCCCGTTTCCTATGCGTACTACTGAACATCGTCAGTAGACCCCCCCCCCCATACGCAAGCGTACTCATTTGGGTTACCCCCCCCCTCCTCCATGCGTACGTACCCAATGAATGGCCCCTAACAAGTCGCCACCAAGTCGCGAGAAGCGATGAGAGGTGGGCTGGACCCAGTGCATGGAGGAAGAAGAAAGGCGAGCGTCGTCAGCCTGGGACACGAACAGGGAGGGCCAAGGGATCGACAGACATTGTGGGCAGCATAAGAGAAGGAGCGACCTCCCACTGACTCTACGCCACGTGCCAGTGGCCAGGTGTGCGTTAGTGTCTCTCCTAGGTCGACTCAGCCTAAAATTATTATCCTGCGTGCGGTGCGTAAACATCGTCGCTCGGGAGACAAAGGCGGCCGGGCGTGGTGCTGGCCACCCACCCCCTCGTGTGCCGTGCCTTCATAGGTGCTCCTGGCTAACAGCACTTGAACTCCAAACAGTTCGTTACAGGCTATACGGGGGCGTCTTTGTCTTTTTATTGTTGAGTGGATATTCTTGGTTCTTTCGGTAAAGTCACGTAGTTGGAGAATAAAAATAGAATTAAATTAAACATAAATAAAAATAAATAAAATCTGTGAGTGGAGCTTGACTCGTCGTGGCCGTTCCATTCCCTCTCGCCGTCCCAAACATTCACACATAGCAACTCCTGACGTCCCGACGAGCTAAAAACAGCCTCGTGATGGGGGTCGGGGTAGAGGATGAGCGTAAGAGAGCAGCAGCTGCCTGCACAGATCGAGAGCAGTGTTCCAGTGACACTCCCAGCGGGCTCCGTCGATAGCGTTAAGAGACAATAAAGTCTCAGCCTGGAGTTCGGTTTTGTGTTGTAGCGGCTCTGCCTGACATTTTAAGGTTTGGGTTTAATAGACAGAGAGAGAGATTGACAGAGAGTGAGTGTGGAGGAGAGAGAAGACAGTGAGCCACAGACAGGCGGGGTTGAATTGATGAGACACTGAGACAGTGCGTACAGAGAGAGAGACACACAAATAGTCTTGATGGAGTGATCGAGAGAATCTTGAGAGAGCGAAAAGAGAGAGGAGAGATTTGAGGAACAGAGATCGATAGACACATACCAAACAGAAACACAAAGAGACTCACACATCGAGTCTTGATAGACTTACACAGACAATTAGAGCATTTTGAGAGATAGACACAGACAGCCATTATTATAGAGACACACGCAAAGATAGACACCCATTGATAGACGCACAGAGGAGGAGGAAACGACAGAGAAGCTCAGGACAGAAAGAAACACGAAGTGAGGATAAGGAGAGACAGAGGTACAGGAGAGTAAAGGAGAGACAGGAAAGGCAGAGACAGGAGAGTCAAGGTGAGACAGGGAGACAGGAGAGACAGGGAGACAGAGAGAGGCAGTTGGAGACAGGGAGAGGCAGTTGGAGACAGGTAGAGGCAGGGAGACAGGAGAGGCAGGGAGAGACAGGGGAACAGGAGAGACAAGGAGGCAGGGAGACATAGAGAGGCAGGGGGAGACAGGGAGACAGGGAGAGGCAGTTGGAGACAGGGAGAGGCAGTTGGAGACAGGGAGAGGCAGGGAGACAGGAGAGGCAGGAGAGTCAAGGAGAGACAGGGGGAGACAGGGAGAGACAGGGAGGTAGGGAGACAGGAGAGACAGGGAGAGGCAGGGGGAGACAGGGAGACAGGAGAGGCAGAGGGAGACAGGGGGAGGCAGGGAGAGGCAGGTGAGGCAAGAGAGTCAAGGAGAAGAGGCCATGGACTTTAGTCCGGGATTCCGGGATGCGCAGGCGATGGACAATCTGGAGAAGCAGCTGACGTGTCCCATCTGCCTGGAGATGTTCACCAAGCCCGTGGTCATCCTTCCGTGTCAACACAACCTGTGCCGCAAGTGCGCCAACGACATCTTCCAGGTACTTGGCCCATCCATCATCTTGGCATTACAATAGATTCGTGGATCTTAACTTGGAGTGCAGGCATCCCCTGGGGGTGCTAGATGCCCTTTCTGGGGGGGTGGGGGGTGGGCGAGATATGGGCATATTTATTTTATTAGAAGGTAAATCGTCGAAACACAAATTAAGGACGGGCACGTAAGTACAACTACTTTGTTTGAGCAAACCCTGTGTGTGTTTAGTCACATTGTAAAGCATGTTAACGATTGAGAACCCAAAGGGGTGCAAAGTCTGCAGTAGAAGTGAAGTTCCACCGCAAGGTGATTATCGATTATCCGCTGGGAAGGGGTCGCCGGATTTTCAAAAGCACCGGATAATCACGAAATGATTATAAAAAAAAAATATTTTTTGGCAATTTCTTGCGTAACATTGTTTTAGGTGTTGTGTATATGCATTTTGTGCGTGTGTTTTAAATGTGTTTACGATGTGAAATTGGCATAAACAAATATACAAACAGACAACAACAACAAGATATCCTACTGTATAAAGTTACCATATTTACTGTACCATACTGACCACGAACATCTCGAAGATTCTGCACGGCGTGATGCTGTGCCTAGTTTACTCCTACGACTACTACTCCACTCTTCTTTACACGAATGGTGTTTGACGATTGTCGGACTGGTGGTGACAGCCTTTGGGGCGGTTTCGCCGGATCGACCCAGGACCGCCGGATAATCGATGGTCAAACTCTATTGACGATTTAATAAGTGGTAGGCTTTCGCGACCAATAACCATGATATAAGAGGGGTTTGGAGGAGGGGGGAATTCGATCGCGTCGTTACAGACCGAAACATGAGGATTTCTTCCTGTTTCCTGAATCGTAGTGTTTTGTTATTTTCTTTGAACCTATCTACGTGACTTTACCGAAAGACCCAAAGAATATGAATAGGAGGATTTCTCTACAACTCTGGTTGGCCTCCTGGTGACGTTGGTTGTTGTTGTAATTACCGGCGAAGTGTCACGGTAAATAGAATTGCAAACGTTGCAGTGGGTTCGCTCTCCAACACGCAACCGGTGTGTTGGACTAGTAACGAATTGCCATGCTTTGTTTGCGTGACAAATCTTACTAATTGACTGCGTCGGGTGGTGGCGGGTTTAACGACAACAAAGTGGACAAGGATCGCCCTAAGAGTATTTAACAGGCTGTTGGGGCAAGTGCTGTGAGTGAGTAGCGCCAATGAAAGCCGGCTCGGCAAACGAGAGGGTGGGTGGCCAGCACCACGCCCGGCCGCCTTTGTTTCTCCAGTGGCGATGTGTTTTTGTTAAACATCGCACCAGGTACTCATTGAGAAGCTGAGTCGGCCTAGGGGAGGCCCAGAACCGATTCAGATGATCAAATCCGGCGCTCCGAGTTCGTAGCGCAGTGCGCTACACTACCGCTCCACACATATACATACGCACATACACGCGTACATGTTATGCAAGGTCCACCTGTAGTCACACCACTGACATTGTTCAGGTGGTTGGTGTGGCATGCAGCCGAGCTGTCATCACCGCATGCACTGTCAGTGCGTGGGTACATGTGCAGTACTATACTGAAAGTAAGATGCAGACGTGGGGTCACGTGCATGACAATACTGAACTACTAAGCTGTGTTTTATTTTCAGAAGCCACCTGGCCACAAGCTGATAGCTCTGGAAGTGGCTCATCATGTGCAAATGCATGGCAGCCAAATATTCTAAACGCATGTTTCTAAATGCGTGCTTCTGGGGTGTTACAGAAGCACGTGTTATCATGTACATCACATGCGTGCGTATGTTTAACTTTTTTCGCACAGTACGTAGCCCAAACGTGATAATTGGCACCAGACCCGGCCGCCTTTGTGTCCCCAGTGCTCACGTTAGACACTGCAGCGATGAATGTACTCGTGTCATGTTCAGTCGATGTAGGCTTCTGGGGGATGCCAGTGTGTGTACATTATTACACACACTCACACGTCTTTTGTTTAGCATTTGGAAAGCATTGTTCAAGTGTGCCTGGGTTCAAACGAAAATTCCACATTCCTACGGCAAATACATCTATTCATAGGTCCAACCACACTGCATTGCCACCTCCTACAAAGTGGCACCAATCATTCCTCTGGGGATCGATAAAATTATAACCCATTTATTGGGAAGTCTTGTTGTGGTCAGTTTCTAAACTCGTGTGCCTGCGTCAGTAAGAATAGTTTCTGGGGGACGTAATTGAAGGCATGTTGCTCAAGATCCGTGAACTCACGTGACCTTTACGCGTGCAATATACTCGTCTGTACCCTCGTATATACGACGGTTATCATGGGTGCCACGGTAGCGAGATGTTAACTACCTCGCCCGGTATGCAGGAGGTCGTGGGTTCGATTGTGACCCTGAGAGATGTTAACTACCTCGCCCGGTATGCAGGAGGTCGTGGGTTCGATTGTGACCCTGAGAGATGTTAACTACCTCGCCTGGTATGCAGGAGGTCGTGGGTTCGATTGTGACCCTGAGAGATGTTAACTACCTCGCCTGGTATGCAGGAGGTCGTGGGTTCGATTGTGACCCTGAGAGATGTTAACTACCTCGCCTGCTATGCAGGAGGTCGTGGGTTCGATTGTGACCCTGAGAGATGTTAACTACCTCGCCTGGTATGCAGGAGGTCGTGGATTCGATCCCGACCCTGACGTCTGCTGTATATTTGGAGTTTGTGTGTTATTTTATTTTTATCCGGGTTCTCCGGTTTTCCTCTCCACATTTAGAATCAACATGCGTTCAGAGTATTTGGCTGCTATAAGTGTCCACGTGATGATAAGCCACTTCGTTGAGCTCTCATTTGTGGCAAGGTCGCTTCTGAAAAAAGAGCTATATAGCTCAGTGGGCATTACTTGATCAAATAAATGTAAATAAAGTTAGCTAAAAGTTATTTCAAAGTGACGGGTTTGCCCATGGGGTTCATAATGGCAATGCCACAGAGGCACTGAGCCAGAACGACTGAGAATCCTGGTCTCTTGATCCCTTGCCTGGGTTCGGGTGTCCCTCTTTGTCTCTCTCACGGATCCACAATGGCTGCGTGAGAGACACTGGAGCCGGTGCGGCTAAGATCCTGCGATCAAATCGAGGTTTCAGCCACCCGGGATTGAAACGGGTCGACACTGCTCACTGAGTTCCTCGATGTGAGGACATCTGGTGAGTCTCGCTCACGAGCCTCTCGTCTCCATGGTGGTCCCCATCCACCGCATTGTGTCTGGTAGGACTCCTGTTGAGTGGAGGAGGCCAATAGTCAGAATGTGGCAATGGCCAGAATATGGCTATCACCTGATGAGGCTGGTTGTAATCACCAGCGAAACGTCGTACTCGAATTGTAAATGCTGTGGGCTTACTCTCAAACACACCGGCGTGCTGAACTTGTAACTAATTGCCATGTTTTGTCTACGTGACAAACCTTACTATCTGACTGTGTCGGGTGGTGGCAGTTTTAACGACACATTTATATTTACGCGACCTAACCCAAATAACACCTCCATTATGGGCAAAACACCTTTAACTATGGATAGATAATATTGGTAGCTAAAGCCTACGTCTCCTGCATTGGGCTATTGGGGCAATTTCGTTGCTATGGATAGTTTTTTTGTGAAAAAAGGCAACTCAACTTTTGGGTGTGTCTTCTTGTGTGTCTGTTGTGGTGTTAGAGAGCGCCGTTCAATGTGTGAAAGTGTGTCGTGTGTGCTCGTGATTGTGTGTGTGAATCAGAGTGTGTGTGACCGTGTGAGTGTCAACGTGAGTGTGAGCGCGTGCATTGTGAGTGAGTCCATGGTAGTGCGAGCAGCAGTAGTAAGGGGACGTCCATAAATGACGTCACGCGATTTGGGACGATTTTTTTTATCCCCACCCCCCCTCTTCGTCACACAGCGTCAAAAAAAGTCAGAACCCCCCTCAAATATGACGTCACAAAGCTCTGCCCCCCCTCCCCCCCCCCCAAAAAAAATAAAACATGCTTCAAATCGCTTTAAACGATTGTCATTGTAGTGCGTATTTAATGTGCCGCTGCACTCTTGATGTTGTAGGAGAAAACATTTATAAAAAAAGTATATTTAATTAAGTAGAACGTGTTGTCTATATTTATTTAAAGTTGCGCATTTTGATGTGACGTCACATTTCTCAACCCCCGCCCCTCCCCTCGTCACACATCGTCACAAATGTCTGACCCCCCCCCCCCCCCAGGTGCGTGACGTCATTTATGACCGGCCCTTAAGTGTGAAAGTGGGTGTCTTGGTGTGAGAGCACGCGTGTCAGGCGACACAGGAGAAGTACTTGCACACAAACTAAACGCGCGGTATTCAAGTCAATTAAACGAATCGTAAAGTCACAGCCGTACAAGACCGGTGGAGTGGCCGCTACAGAAACACACCTCCACCTTGGAAGGTGCTAAAAGTGAGTCGACTTAACACCCGAGGTTGAATTAGGTCGCGCTATTTCCCACGACTTCCATCCCAATTATTTTGGAATGGACATCAAATCCACTTTCTCCAAGCAAACTTTCGACCGAATAATAGAACAGGCGTTAAGATGTTCAAACGCACAGATAGAAACATTTTGCAAGGCTTGAAGTCTGCATTAACCACACGTGCTTGTGGCGAAACATGCTAACAAACCACTGATAATATTTGCTTTGCCCTTGAAACTGACTGGCCCTGCACCAGAGACGGCTTTCTTTGTGGCCTCGCCTCACCAGTGTTAGACCAGACAACGCCAAAAGGCGAACAGAACAAAGATAATGTACGTATCAGAGTATTTATAGTTCGGGGTGAGCAGACATGTCGTGAGACCTTTTCGCCGCCAAAAACGATGATAACTAACAATCGAGGTTTTGCCCTTTTCTGGCAATAAAAGCGACACTTATTCCGAAGGATGACGATGGAAAATGGGGAGACTTGGCGATACGCATTGGGGGAAGAGATTCTCTGGATTCAACGTGTGGGGGGCGGGGGGGATACGAGATTCCAT